GGGCGCTGTGTAGAATTGAGAAATAATTTCTGAGTTGTTAGAAGCCCCCACCTCTATAGGTGGTGGGTAGTTCACTTAGACGAAGAATTAGTGGAAAAGCATCTTTGCCGAAAGGAAAATTACAAAGATGAAGCGATTGTTGAATGAAGCAAAGAAGATTTAAACGATGTATCCAAACTCGGCGAATTGTTACTGAATACTGGACTAGACATGCTGGCTCCTTCTCAAAAATATGTCAAAGAAGAAGTTGATACCAATGTCCGCGAAACTCAAAAACTTTTCTTATTTTTGTCAATAGACACTTATGCGAAATTTGCTATTGCTTCAACCAAAGAAGCCGGCAAAACTTCAACTCTCGAACAATTAAAAGCACATTTCCAAGTAATTCCAGTTCATACGGTTAACAAATTAAAAGCGGCTTTCCGAGATAGCGATGGTTTGAAACTTTTGCGAGCTATTGCCAAGCGGGAAATGGTTTACGATGAATATGTTATGGCACACAAAATCCTTGACCACCTATGAGCAAAATGAATGTTAATTGATTTCCGTTGTGCTTGGGCGTTATTTGAAAAAGATGGAGAAAATGAAGAAGAAGAGCATGAGGAAGAAGAGCAAGAAAAAAGTCTCACTGCTAACTATAACGAACTGAAAGACGGTAAAAAAAAGAAAATGACTAAAACGCAAGCCGAAGAATGGTCCGACTGCGGTTTTGATTTCGTAAGTGTTAAAGAATGATTAGAAGCAGGATTGAAAGTAAGTGACGCAAAATTTGCTGAATGATTAAGAGAAAGCGACAAAGACGATTACAACACTCCCGAAGGTTATAAAGCCAATGTGGGCCAAGAGTATAAAGCGACCGAAGAAGACTTGAGAAACGAGTTTAAGGAAGCTTAAAATTAGCCAATAATGGCTCTTACTGAATTTCAAAAAAAACTAGAGGGTGTTCTTGTCCTCTCTCCCATAGTTAAAAAGGATAATCAAAAAAAAATTAATTCTTGAAGCGGAAATAAAAAAGTTAAAAGAACGGATTGCCGAACTAGAAAAAAAACCAACAACCCAAGACCAGGGAACTTCCACCAACTTATCTAATAAAAATATTAACCTATTAATAGAGCAA